ATGGAAGTAGATTGCCCAACCTTCCTTCTGAGGAGTGGCTGGTGGGTTTGAACCGCCAGCCATCTGGTTAGCAGTCAATTGCCTTAGGCACTACGCTACCAGAGCTCCTAAAGAGACTGCCCAGTCTACCTGGTGGGGAGCGTCTGGTGGGTTTGAACCGCCAGTCTTGTGCTTGGCAGGTGACTGCCTTAGGCCCGAGGCAATGCATTTAAATTGGGCACTAAGCCACAGGCCAATGGAGAAATCTTAGTCTCCACCATCAGGTAGTAATATAGCTAAGGAGTGAATGGAATTAGAATTCTCAGACTGTGACAATCAAAAGTAATCAGCAGACTAGTGTGATAAAAGGGTGTAATAATTATATTTAACTATAAGTCCAGAGTTGGAGGAAACAAGCATCTTTCTGCTCACTGTGACCCATTTGATCTTTTCTTTAATCAAAAATTAACAGAAAGACTGCTGAAGAGAGACACCGTTTTCTTGTTGCCAGTGAGTATCTCACTGGTGGTTTACTTGGATGGGCATAGAGCATGTCCCAGAGTAAAGCTGGGTTTCTTTCCTAGAACAGCAGCTCTAAAAGCCTAGAAACTCTTCCCTGTGGTCTGGCATTGGGTAGAAAGGGAGTGTTTAGTGCTTCACCCTATTGCTGCAAGCTCATCTCTGTTGACACTCTCCATCAGAGGCTGGTGTCAACCATCTGCCCAGGATGCTGTAGCACCTGCTTCCTCCTGTTTATGGCATTAAGAACTTTCTTCCTGGGGCCTAGCTGCATTCGTATGCTCTGAAGGTCCTCATCAGAGCAAAGCAACAGAGCTTCTAGATCAATCTGCTCTCTCATGAAAATGGGAAGGAACTCTTCCAGGTGATGGGACTTCAAGAACACTTCCAGGGGAGTAGCATCAACCATATCTTCCTCCCACTCCACTTCATCCTTATCCCAAGGCAGCTCATCACCATGGCCATTTTCTTCTCCCTCTTCATCAGCCTCAGCTTCATCAGCCTCTGCTGCTCCTTGTCTCTGAAGCAATTCACTGGAAATTTTAAGCCCCAACGCCCTCTTGCTGTCTGAGAAGTCTTCAGGGCTCAGCACTGTGTTCCCTCTAAAAACAATATTTCCTAGTCCTGGACGGCTGAGAATGGATTCATGTTGCACACAGTTGTCCTCCTCGGCTGAGAGCTGGAGCTTA